CCACAAAAAACAATTCTTTTTAAACATTTTAGAGTCAGTCCAACCATACTTGTAAATATAGGATTTTGTTATCTTATCTGACAATGACGTCATTTTTTGGCTATCTAGGCCTCTATCATCAGCCAGCAGTGGGACAGACCCTTTAAAGATTAGGAAACCAACTGTTAAGTCTACTAACCACACTATTTAATCAATCGAACTAAAATTCTGTTAAATTCATGAGGCTTGTCTATTCAAAAGTTGTTGGTACAATCACAATTTTACTGCTGTTAACTATTATAATTATGTAATAACGCTAAAAATACCTTTTTACAGCGGCCAAAAATCAAATTAAACGTTTACTTAATTTGTTTTCCTAACATGTCGTTAATTAAAAAACAGAGCAATAAATAAATTTGTTACGAGCGTACGAGGCACTTGACATCATTTCCTTGTTGTATTTCGGTAGTTTTACAAATTTTAGTTCAGTAACTACACTAATGGTTCCTTTTGATTAATAATTTGCCACAAGCACATTTTCCAGTTATAAATTTCACTGTAACTGACTGGAGTGCTTTATAAGCTTTAAAAAATGGTGCGACGGTAAAAATTATGCATGAATTTTGTTTTCACATTTTTTGTATTTTTTAACGTCTATAAATATAAACATAGGTACTTTAATCTGCATGAAAATATATAAATAAGCAGAATCCATTACATTGAAAGGAGATTTGCTTAAGAAAGGAGTGGATTCAGATATGACTGTTAGAGATGTATGGAAGAGCAGCACATACTGTGCCGACCCTCCGTAAGGGATAAGGGCAAGTGGATGATGATGACGAGAATCCATTACATTTATATAATAATGTCTATTATTTAATACAAAAAGTTTAAATTGAAACAAATAAATCGTAAAAGTTGATGATACTCTGTGGACATTTTGTAGTACTGACCATTTGTAGTATTGGCTTCAAAAGCGGGCAATAAAGTTTTATTACTTGTTAGACTTTTACGGTATTCTGTTATCGGGCAAGCGAGGGGTCACGTTAGTCCAGTACTCAGAATCGATAGAAAGCTTGCATCTAAGAACTACATAAAGAACATCGAGACATCGGAATGATTACAATCTTTTATATAGTCTAAGATCTTATAGTCGACAGACTAACTACACTTCAACAAAGTTTAGTTTACCAAGCTAAACATTTAGGTTAGAAACTACAGTACAATATTACTGTGAGACATTGGGAGTAATTAATAATTCTTATCGACTAAAATTTGCTTCATTATTTATTTTAAATCTCACCTTTTGTAAAAGCTTAGGCCTGTTGTCGAGCTGTTCTGGCTTGTCATCGTCCTTCGAGTGGTCATCGTTCCTCGAATGCCTGTTAAAAAATTACCTTTTTATTTTATTAGTAATATTTATTATGCTTTGCTTACAAACTCCTTTTGAAATTTAGGTAAAACCAACATCGTTAATAGTGAAGTGAACAAACAAAACTGTCGATAAATATAAATTAATTATTAAATGATAAACTGAATTATCCAAACCCGTTACTTATTCAGCGTCTAACTTAAAATGTCTCTGAACTTTTACTTTCCTTTCACGTTTCACCAATGATTTAATCCGGAGGAAAAAGTTTTTTCAGGAGTGAATCGTAACATTTCGACCTTGAATTTAAATGAATCGATCTCTACGTAGAGGAGACGATTTAGTATTCAGAGCGACGACAGCGCGAAATGTCTTGTCTATTAATCTATAATCTTTGTTTTGAAAGATTATTAAATACGTCACCGAATCGTTAACTCTTAATGTCGCACTCGCAGTTATGTTGGTAAGGATTATTAATTTTACCAACATTTTGTAACAACTCTATAGTTACTTTACCTTTCGTGCAAATAATTTGAACACACATCACACGCAAACAGTTATGCATATCGTATGTAACTGATATTCATAAATTAAAAATTTTATATTACAATTTAAAAAAGAATTAGAATAAATAACGTTCTTTTGTTTAAATTAAAATTCAAAAGAGTATAAAAGTCTCTGACATTAAAATTGGAATTTATGTTAACTTTTTTTTTAATTAACAGATAATGAAAGATAAATGTCCGTTGAACCCTTGTTAAAATAATGTATTGTAATAGTTTGAGATGCGTGTTCTGTGGCAATTGACTGCACGCTATACCCCAAGCTCCAAGGTTGATCACATGCGAACTGTTGCCTGTTGATTTTCACTTATTTATAGATGTAATTAATTTTATCGTAGCAACGGATACGATTTACAAGACTATAAACATTAACATATTGAAAATCTTATTATATTTCCTGCAAATAATCGATAGTAATTTTTAATACCAACCTAATTTTATAAGATTATTTTTTTAAATAGAAATTAAAATGTTGTCTACAATTTTTACTAAAGAAAATAAATATAATTTAAATTAATAGAAATATCAGGATTTTCAATATCTTTTCTTCCTCATCACGACCCTTGTCATAAGCGACTGACGGTATAAAAACATTAGTCATCTTGTGTCCTTCGTTTTACTTGAATTTTATAAGTAGGTGACCCAGTTTTACGCGGAACCTATCTATTTTAACTATCTTTATTGTTTTAACATATATCTTTTATCAAAGATTCTCTTTACAAGTACAGTGCAATCAACGGTGGATCCACCTTTGGCGCTAGGGGGAGGTCACCTAGTCGTGGTCAAGTCAAGAGCTTGACAAAATATATAAATGTATTTTGTCAAGCTCTTGACCAACCAGCTCAGGGGGGGAGCATGACCCCCATGCCCCCCCCCCTGGATCCGCCGTTGAATGCAATTCAGGGCATATTAACCAATAATTTCCACACCCTAATATTCTTTTTTTTTCTAATATGACATGAATTTTTGTCCACGTACAAGGATTGGAAACTCACGTTATGATTTATGACGTCATGGTACTTTGTAATGACACCTCCACACAGCTAAATTACTTCATCTTAGCCGTTAAGATAATGGTGGTAAACTTTTTATTGTCTTCCAAGAAACTAGTGACCGATCAGAGGAACATAAACGCATTGAAATGTCATAAAAATAACTGTTTTCTATTAGTTAGAAGTGTATCTTTAACCTTAGAGTGGTGTGGGTTGGTTTGCTACATATATGACACCCACCTGTCATGATGCAGGAGTGCGGGTGCAACTTTCTTCCTGAGGTTGGCGAGTGCAGCGAGCTCTTCGCGCTTGCGGGACGGCGGCGGCGCCCCACACAGCGTCAGCAGCGGCGTCGGCGCCGGCTGCGACGCCCGCAGCAAACTACAAACACACTCTTACATCGATCTCATGAAAAACTACTAGTCCGTAAGGTATAAGTTTATAGGGTAGAGAAAATATTATAGACTGGTTATAGGCAAAATGCCAGATGTGGTTAACAAAAGGTTTTTATTATCTTTTTAATTTTTTAAACACAACGTTTAATATTTAAACCGCTGTTATGTAAAATATAATTTTCTTTTTATCTGTGACGAAATGTTAGGCGCTTGTACGAGGAATAAATAAAAGATTATATACAAAAAAAAACCAAAAATAATATAAACCGACTTTAAATTCTCTTTTAGTGAATATGAAAGCATTAAAAGATCCGTTGCATTCTTTGTTTTTGAATATGAATTAAGTAGACAATATTATGTATGGCGCTATTATTATAAGCAATAAGACATGTAGTGTCCTAATGATGATAAAAAACTACTAACTTTTGTTAGATAACATAAAAAAGAACAATACTAACCGTTTTGAGACCGGCGTCCTCTTTGAAAGAAGAGTGTACTCATAAAGATTAGAACTTGACGGATGTGGATGAAAGGCGGGCGTCGGTGGATAATATGCTTCATCTTCTTTGTAATTATTGTTTACTAACACAGATTTTAAAGGTAATAATTCGACATTATCGTCGACACGGCGCTCGCGTGGCGACGTCATAGCGCGGGAGGCATCGTGCGCGACCGCCGGCTGCTTGCAGCCTACTGAAAGATGTGGCCTTGAAAAAGCTGCAGCGTAGTGTCGGGACTGAGATGAGACGAATCCTGTGCTCATAATTAATTTCAGCTAAATAAACTCCGGGTAGTTTTTTAAGTAATTTATAAAAGACTATTTAGCTAATAGTTTTTGACAGGCGCGCAATAGTTTTTATATGTTTAAACAAGTTAGTATTTAGTTAACATTACAATTATTTTTAAGCCGAGTGTATCACTGTTGGTGTTTTTTTACAATTTTGTCTAATATAATAGATAATACATTATGAAAGTTAAGGAATGCTCGACGATGCGGTAACGTTATTTAAACCAAAATGATCCACCACATCCCTAGAGCTGCGCTACCCGGCCGCACAAGATGAACCCCAGGATGCGCAGATGCGCAATGCGATTTGCTTGTATCAGTTTTGAGCTATCATGCAATTAAAACGTGTTTTGCCCTGAAAGTTCTAAAAATCTTTTATAGCGCCTAGTAAACATTTGAAATGAAAATATTATATACGACAATATTATTTCATTCTTTAATTGATCCGCTGCACAAACACCGTAACCTATACTATAGTACTAATGCCTACCTGAGCGGGGAATTACTACTATCTTCCTAGCTTTTAATTTTTATGTTCCAGGAGCAGCTTTCTCCCAGTTTATAACAAGCACTGTATTAAAAGATGATGTGATGAATTTGTTCATCCCCACCTGTTGGTTAAATTAAATAATTCCCTTCTTACACACCTTTTGTTTTTCTCGTTACAAGAGATATGATACATTGATGATTGGAAGTATGATATTTACTTGAAAAATTTGCATAACTGCGTATAACTGACAAATTAGCATTTTAGTTACGTTTCTTATTTCAACATTTGATCTTTTTAAAACCATTTGTTTTACTTTATTGGAATCAAAGGAACAATAGAGGAAATTGATAAACCGGAAGTACTATTTAACTTATTACTGCGCTATCTTGTCTGCCTAAAAGAAATATACTCTGTGACTTCTGCCTTTGGACCGCTGTCAGTGTCATTTTGTTTTCGTCTCTTTTTAGTCCATTATTTATTGATTTTATTAATAATATAAAGTGTATTTGTATCGAATAGCATAACTAGGAATATTTTAAATAAGTTTTAACGATATTTAAATGTTTATCATCACAGCCGTACAATATAAATATAATAACTTAACAGGATACTGGAAACACACAAGCGTAAAAAGGTAAATTATAATTAAAAAGTAATTAACAATGGATACAATTTTACTGAATTGTATTAAAAATCAATCACGAAATTGTTAATATTTTCAATCAAGTGTTAACGATGTCATAAGATTTTTTAATTATTTCACAATATATCTCATATTGTGGCAAAAATGTAAAGCAATTTAGTTTTTCTACAAGTAAATCAAATTCTATGGCCATTAATCATTTATCTACTTTATTTTTCAGATGGAAAATGGAGATGTATCGCCGTTGAATAATTGTCAGACAAAGGAGGCTAAGAGACTATGCATATATGATGTTGGTACAAAACTAAATACACCTGATCAATATGACATTGGTGGGACATATACTAAAGATGAGTCTGATCTATGGTTCTTTTGCTCTACATCTTTGTGTCCAGGGTACCAGTATCTACTCAATATATTTGTGTGCCATAGAAAACCAGGAAACATATCTGTGGGTATTAGCGCAAGTGATGTTTTAAAATATAAAGTAAACATTGGCAGTGTAACAAACAATGTGCTCCCCAGTTCATTGTCATGGCAGACATTAAGGGCTGTGGAAGCAGATGAAATAAATCATGTAAGAACTTTTTGCTTCACTGAAATGGATATGGTCAGGATGAAGTATGAAACACTGATTATACCTTTGAGTATAGTATGGGAACCAAAGTGTTTAGTATTGGAGAGTGTTATAAAAAGAGTAAAAGTGAAACACGACTTTGGGGATTTATTATCTAATGAGGACAATAAAGATTTAGAGCTAAAAACACCAAGCGGCAGGACCTACAAGATTCATCGTCTTGTTATGGCAGCCCATAGTCCAGTATTGAGGAATGCAATTAAAAATTTAAAGGATAATTCACTTTTTCTGGACATTAACGACAGAGATTTGGAACTGCTTCTGAAGTTTATGTATACAGGGACAATAAGAAATGTATCAGAACTAAACTGCATACATCTTCTAGAAATGGCTGGTAAATTTGAATTAAGAAGCTTATTCCTTTATATGCAAAATGTTATAAAGACACAAATTACAGTTGAGAATGCCATGGATATTGCAGTAATATCTGAGAAATATAAACTAGAAGATATGCAAAAGAATATATTCCAATTTGTTAAGGAACATCCACAAGTCTTGAATACACCTAGTTGGAAAAAATTGAATGATATAAATTTAACTAAAAAACTTTTAGAAAACATTTACGAAGATAGCATCTAATAGCAACATTATAAAAAAACCTTGTAGTTGTTGGATTTGTAACCATTATTCTCTTGTTATTTTTTTTTTTAATTTTGAAATGTGAATTATATTTTTGAAATGTTATTTAAGATGAATAAGAAGTTTTGTTTATCCTATTACTTAAATACTGCCATTTGTAGTCATTTCAAAGCTAATTATAGTAGGCTAAGGTCGTAGAAAATATTACGTAAACCTTGTCCAGTTGGAATTGTGTTCTGGTCAATACTAAACCCTAAAATATAGATAGCCTCTTTGTAAAATACATTTTCCCAAATAATAAAAAACTTTAAAGTGAAAATACTTTATTTAATGAACTGTAGTTTTGAAGTAAAATACCACAATTTAGATGATGCTATAAATATTTCGATTAACAATTATTGAACTCTGGAGATCAAAATACAATTAAGTCATAACCCAACCACGATAACAGTAATAGAGAAATTAGTAGCAATTTATTATTTGCACATGGCAATACTTTATAGTAGCAGTTACATTCGTCAACTTTTTGACGGATTAACTTTTGCTATTGTACATTATTAAAGCATTGTAATATACTCAGCAAAATGTAAAAATGTTTCAACTAAATTATAAGTAATGTAATTTAAATATTTTTTGTATGTAAACACCCCTATTTTTAGTAATATTTTAATAGGCTGGCCATAGACAAGTTACACCTACACGCGCAGCAAATTGAAATTCTCCCTCATCCCGAGGAGGTACCGTCCCGTCAAGCGTGGCTAATCAAGGCACCAAAAGGTGAGGTTTCTAATCGTTAAATCATCATTTATATCGTATATTCGTAAGTGGTTTGTTAAATTTTTTTGTTAAAACGTATTCTAGTGTCAAAATCGTACCGAGAGAGTGTTCTAATACTGAAATATACATGTGAAAACATTGGGACGCGTTACAATTTAGTGCAGTAGTGTTGATTTCAGAGAGTTTCATTTTTTTGTGTTCAAACCTGTAGTAACTTTACGTTTGATACTTAGAAAGTATATTATTTTAGGAAAATGAGCAGCTCCGAGGAGGTATCATGGATTTCATGGTTTTGCGGGTTGCGAGGTAACGAGTTCTTTTGCGAGGTGAGTGTCTTTTCATCTATTCTACTTTTGTTGTGTTTGCTTTTTATATTGGTATAATTTTTAACTTTCAGGTGGACGAAGATTATATAAATGATAAATTTAACCTGACGGGTCTCAATGAACAAGTACCACATTACAGACAGGCTTTAGACATGATTTTAGACTTAGAGCCTGGTAAGTAAGCACCATAGATAACGATGTCAATTAAATATTTTCATTGCACCCAAATGTTTATTGCAATTAATAATAACATTCTTATTTGTTTATCAAATATTCCTTGACAAAAACACTATTAAAACTACAATTACCCTGTAAATTAATAAAAAGTTAGTTTAAAGCTATTAATGTGGTAGGTTTTGATGATTTTTTACTTTTAAATACCCTAAATTGAAACAGGCAGTAAATTAAATATAGAAAAATAAAGACAATTTTTTTTTAAATTAGTCTTGGGTGTGGAAGAGAAGACTGATGTAGAAATGAATCATTATTCATTTAAGGGTTAAAGTTTGATGTAGTTATTTTCTAACAAATATGTGATTCAATAAAGTACTTATAATTTGTAAGTGAAACACTGTATATGCTTATGAGCTAAGCAGTTGTATTGTTGTCTATATTTAGTCTAACACCTCAACCATGCCAACAAAGTTATACTTTTTTGTTACTTTTTTTTAGATGATGACCTGGATGACAACGCGAACCAATCAGACCTTGTTGAGCAAGCATCTGAGATACTCTATGGGTTGATACATGCTCGTTATATATTAACAAATAGGTAATATACAATTTACTTAATTTCACGGGTGATGTTACAAAGTTATTTATTTGATTTTTTAAACAATGACTTAGTTTGGACTTTTCAGTGACAATTTTTACATCTTTCAAATGTAAATTTTTTAATCAATAATGATTTGTACCTTTAGACAATACTTTTGACATTTTATATTTATAGAGTTTAAATATTTTTACAGAGGAATTGGTCAAATGCTAGAAAAGTTTCAAGCGGGAGACTTTGGTCACTGTCCACGAGTCTACTGTGAATGCCAAGCTATGCTCCCACTGGGTACGAAATCTTTCATCTCTGAACCTAATGACCAATGTTGATCTGTTTTTGATTTAGCAGCTGATCCAATAATTTTAAAATAACTTTAAAACTCATATTATCTGTGAAGTGATTTTAAGTATAAATTATTAGGTTTGGCAGCTAGTTTATACACTTAAATCATAAGAAATTAATACAGGGCTAGTATAAAAATAACAAAAATATTCTAGGACTGTCTGATGTCCCGGGCGAGGCAATGGTGAAGCTATACTGTCCCCGTTGCATGGATGTGTACACTCCAAAATCTTCGCGTCATCATCACACTGATGGTGCATATTTCGGGACTGGTTTCCCGCACATGGTGTTCATGGTGCACCCTGAGTACAGACCTAAACGCCCAGCCTCGCAATTCGTGCCCAGGTTAGTCATTATTTTTTCACAATCTTGTTACTATGATTGAAATTTTATATAACACTTGCTGATGCTGACGACTATGTCTGCGTGGAATTAAATAATGTTACTTACTGACAACGTAGCTTCTTAATAGTGCAAGTAGGTATGTACATACAAAAGTACAAATTTTCCCTTTTTATATTAGTATAGATACTATAGACTAGCTTTTGCTGCGCGGTTTAACAAAAAACATGTAAGCCTATTCGTCGCCAGCAACAGCTAGTAGAACATAAACTTCCTGTGAATGTAATTATTTTTTTCTCCCTTAGATTGTACGGCTTCAAGATCCACCCACTCGCTTACCAGATCCAACAACAGGCTGCGGCCAACTTCAAGGCTCCGCTGCGGAATCTCTCGTACAACAACGGTAAACGCTAGGGCTGCGCCCCCGCGCGACCTGCGCCCCCTACCGCACAGTGATACAGATGCTCCCCATACATAACACAAACCTGAGTGGACATACTTTACACGGCCATGTAGAAACCAAATAAATGCAATCTTTATTACCATTCTTCATTCTCATAATTTTTGTCATTGTCTAATACCCACAAGTCTTTAAATTATGCCTTTGCTTTTAGCGGTGTATATTTGTAAAATATTCCAGTTGAGGAACGCCATAATTTCAAATATTTTAATACATTATATGTGAATTAAGCCACATAAAAGTTCACGAGCCTTGGCCATGTAAAGTACTTAAAAATATCTTCACAAGACTGCCTAAAACCTGTCCACTTTGTAAATCTTATCTTTTATAACAAATAAATATTACATTTCTAATCAACTCAACGTAAAGTAACATTTTATCTTTTAGATTTTTAATCGTCGTAGTTTGTATTTTTTGTTAGATTAGTGGAAATATTTACGATGTAGGGAGGATCTGTATCAATAACTTTAGTAATAAGCAGTTAATCTTGGCGAGGACAACTAATAAAAGGACAGAAATGTTAGTGAGTTATAGTTATGTAAAAGTTTACAAACATAGCTAAAATGTTTAAACATAAAGATTAGTAATAATAGTCAAGTGATTTAGAATCGATTGCTATCTTGTATAGTTTCATCAAACATTGCTGCCCAAAATTCATTTACACATTTCATACATTTTGATTAAAATACATATTTAAATATTCTAATCTTGAGTCTTTTAACCTTATGCTGTTAAATGGGGCAATGGTGAATTCAGACGATTTTGTAGTTTATATTATATTTATAAAATCGCAACTAAGCTAGGGTCTTGTAAGTTTTTAATTTTATATCCGATAACACAAATGGTCCTTTAATTTGCGCATTTGTGTCTTGAAGACTTTCCATTATTGTATCGGTTCCAGTAATTATAAATAAATATTATGAAAACTATTGGCCTTTTTTTCTTGCTTATCCTGCATGTTAACCATGTGTTCTTCCTTTGAGAGTAAAATAACCAAGTTGTGTGCGGAGATTGTTGACATGTTAATAATAATTGTATGCAATAATAAAAGAAATATATTTGTGCTTTAGCTTTATTGTTATGTAATTGTATAATCATTTTAGAGATCACCATAATTAGCTAGTTGCTATTGAACAAAGTAGCTAATATATAGAATGTATAGACACAGCATAACCTAATGGTTATATATTTTATTATCTGTTATGACAATGATTTTTTAACCACATAATATATATATAAGTGATTAAAAACTTATTAGTCATACTGATAAAGACATAACCTAAAATAAATTAGAAAAACTATTCTACACAATAACACTTATTACAAGGAAATATAGTAAAAGTTGCTACATTATTAAGACCAAAACGTAACTAAAAATATTAATTGGAGACATTTGTTCTGTGACAGAGACGAAGACTTCAAGTAACATTCCAAAATGATGATAGCCAGTGGTGCGCCGCACACGCCGCGGGGCGCGCCCGCCGCCTCGCCCCACTTACTACTGACCACTAACTTAAAAACTAAATATAATATTTATTGAAATAACTAATTTACTCCTCATTTAACTAAAAAGTTGTGTTTTTATTTCCAATAAAGTTTATTTTTACGTTTTATGTATTTAATTTTTTTAATGAGAATAGCACCTGTTTTTGTTATTGACAATAAAATATTTAAACAAAATTACGGTGTCTGATGTTCATGCGGCAAGAAATCTACATAACTCTCTGACTAGGTCCACATTCTTAATCTCATCAAAGAAACTGTTGTCTAAGACAGAATTATATTTCTTTATAAATTTTAATGATTCTCTTTTAAGATGGTTGGCATTATACATATCAGATAATACAAGAATTTCTAATGCACTGTCATGAGTCAGTTGATAACATAATGCATGCTGAGTTATTTCTTTCAGGCCACTTAAATTGAATCTATCAGCCAACATAAGTAGATTACAACAATTCTTGCTTTCCAAATCTTTCACTGTTCCTGAGTAAATGAACTCTAATATACATCGAAGATCCTCCTTACCAACATCAACAAGTTTTACATAACTGTTCTGAGATTCTGCAGTTTCCTCTTTTAGCATGGCTTTAAACACTTCACTTTGTCCAGCTAAGAGAAGTTTGTGTACTGGAAACTTTTCTCCATCCAATGATTCTATTACAAAATCCGTACCTACTGGATCATTTAACAAATCACTGAAATCCATAGTCATAGAGTTTACATCAGATCTTCGTGCAATTTTAAATGTTATTGCTATATATAATGTCTTATCTTTCAGGCATTCAACATCTAAGTCACTAAAACTATAAGTTGTAACAAATCCAGTACTCGCTTCTCGTTCTCCCACTCTAAATATTCGAAATCTCTTCATACTTTTATCAAGATATACAGCACCTGTCTTCTTATCGAATGTCATTTCATTACTATTGCTTGCTATGAAATTTATTGACCCTTCTTGGGGGCTTGAAGCAAACAGTTGTAAGAGAAAAATATTCCCTACTTGATTAGTCATATATGTGAACCTATGGTCTGGAATATCTGCAATATAGGTGCAACCGATATCATAGAAGTTAGGTCTATGAAACTTCTGATAGACATCTTCGAGACAAAGCCACTTTGCATTGACGGTTTGGCAACAGTTGTCACTGGCCATGGATATCACGCTCCCATCGTCCTGTTTTATAAAAAAAAGAAATATTATTTACTGGGTCAACATTGCATGATTTTTAGATAACTTATGAAATTCTTACCTCCATCTTGTTCGTATTCGTACTAAACACGAAACAACAATGTTATGTTCGCTGTATGTAGATAATAATTAAAAAACACAAACTATTTAATTACTTATATGACCTGCTAAAATGCTGAGAGAAGACTACGTGAAAATTCCTATTTGTTAATAATTGAAAATAAACAAATTGAAAATCCTTGCCATTATATGTCACAAATGCTGAAGTGACAATCAGTAACAGCTGACAGACAGTCATTTATTAGGACAGAGTATACCTTAAAAAACCGAGAAGTAGTTAACTGAGAAGAAAAATTATATATAAAACCGTTGTTTAAAATTATTACAAGTATGAGAGTTGTTTTGCAAAAACACGTAGACATATGAATACATGTGCATGTCGAAAAAAGCTGCACATACCTTGCATTAGCTTTAATTTTTATGTTCTTGCTTATATTTTCATAGAAAATAATGGCAACTTTGTTATTGTCAAGATGACATTTCACAAAAACATTTATTTGCCTGTGCATGGATTTCGATTGTTTTTAGAATTTTTTCCTTTCAATATTAGGTTTTGTTATTTTGAATCTTTTCCTAATGCTATGACAAATATTGAGGCTTTAAGCCTCTATCAAAATGGTTTTAAACGCCGCTGTACAAATGTTAAGGTACGCAAAGAAACCTTATAAAAGATATTTACATCATCACTATAACCCTAATTTTGTGATTTTCTCAAAATATTTATCCGTGTCAATGCAATAAATTAAGGCCTCTTAAATGGACAGTATCCGTTGTTTTATAATTTCTGATGATTACGTTTGATTTCTTATATTTCAGAGAGGCAGATGAATTAAAACAGAAGATTTTAAAATTTAATAGTGGAACGTCAATGCTCCAAGATCGTAGCCTTTGGACAACACAACAACGATTGCAAAATGTCTGTAAATGCTTTAAAGTACATAATTTGTTCTTGTTACAATCAGAAATGTAACATTCTTTTTTTTAGGTTTATCAGAAAATTCTTATGCTAGACTTAGACTATGCCCTGGATAAGAAGGTTGAACAAGATCTGTGGAATGTTGGTTTTAAACAACAGATTGAAGCATTACAAGCCATCTCTAAAGATAGAAAGGTGAGAATACCTATTTAAAGTTATAAGGTATCTTATTATGTACTCCTAAAACAACTATTTTTCAGAATCCCCTGCGCAGTGAAGGCCAGGCGATGCTGTCATGGGTCCTACAAGCAGCAGCTGGTTTCTACCTCTGTCTACTTCATCAAATCTGTGCGACATTCAAATTGGATCTACCATTTAGGTTTGTGGATATTTTTTTAATTCTTTAATTGTGATATTTGCAGGATTTTAAACTATTTTTAATACTTGATAAATATATATTCTGTAGACGGCGTGCATCTCTGCTAGGGTCT